TCCTGCTTAATTACATGCATAGGTTGAGGTACTGAGCTGCATTAGACATCCTAATATGGTCCTCCTCCTTGGTGCATGTCCTGAGCATGGGTGTTTGGTGTATGAATACTTGGACAATGGTAGCTTAGAAGACAGATTATTCCGGAAAAACAACAGCAAACCTATATCATGGAAGCAACGGTTCCAAATATCTGCTGAGATTGCAACTGCACTCCTCTTCCTTCACCAAAACAAGCCAGAGCCTATTGTTCACCGAGACCTTAAACCCTCCAACATCCTCTTGGACAGGAACTACGTGAGTAAAATCAGTGATGTTGGTCTGGCACGGTTAGTCCCTGCTTCTGTGGCAGATACCGTGACACAATACTACATGACTTCAGCTGCTGGAACCTTTTGTTACATTGATCCTGAGTACCAACAAACGGGGATTCTAACACCAAAATCAGATGTATATTCACTTGGAATAATGTTGCTGCAGATAATCACAGCCAAGCCTCCGATGGGTCTTACTCACCAAGTCAAGAAGGCAATTGAGAAGGGCAAGTTTGAAGAAGTGCTTGACCCTGTGGTCACTGATTGGCCAGTTGAAGATGCTCTATCATTTGCCAAATTAGCATTGCAATGTGCAGAACTCAGCAAGAAGGACAGGCCAAATCTTGCAACAGTTTTGTTGCCAGAGCTTAACAGGCTAAGCGAACTTGGATGCTTTTACAGTAATCAAATTTTGTTTAGAAGTGATGAAATGAGCAATAGCTATGCTTCACGCCCTCCCACACCTCCACGAAGTCAATACTCAGACAAGGAGACATACTATAGGACCTAGGTTCGTATATTGACTAACTCATCATGTAGTAAGACAACAATCAAAATGTAATCCATGCAATTCAAATTATTCAAGTGTTTTCATCTCAAGAGATAAACACAAGCCATCAATGCTTAATTCCTAGAACACTTTCCACTTGTAAATTTTTTTTTAATTTCTCAACAATTTTAATTGTTGATATGATTTTTACCAACTAGGAGGTAATATCTAAGGATGGTGGTGAGGAATTTAGAGCTACCCCAAGAAAGGAATATTGAAAAGATTGGAGACAGCTTAAGTGTATATTTAATTACGCGTTTATAAAAATGATTTTAAATAAACATGAATTTCTTATAACGTCATTTTTGTTTGGAACGAGATTTTAGAAAATTGATTTTGTCACACAAATTTGTTTGGATATTTACTATCTTGATTTTGGGTGTAAAATTATATAAATGGACCTTAGTATTTGTATAAATGAAAGATGTGTCAACTCATTTTTCACAAAGAAAATGACATATATGGAGGAAATAAATGAATATCATGACTCACATTTATTTGGATCCAAAAGCTACTTTAGCATCATCGTAAGTCACTCACAAAGATAAAAGTGCCAAACATATTGGTCAAAGCGATAATCAAGTTTGACTAGTTCCAAACTCATGTTTATTGGTTCCAACGTGGAAGCAAACATGCTCACCAAAGTTCAGAAAACGATGCTGAAAGTAAATGACTTGGCAAATGAAGCAGGTCTATTGTGTAAATTCTCTGTCATATTCCTTTCACAAACAATGATGTTCGACAAGTTCGTGCGTAGGTTGTCATAATGCCACGTTCTACATCATACTCAACTATTAAAGAATTTGCAAGAACAAGTGAAAAGGAAGTTCAGAATTTCCACTTGCAAAGCAAAGTATAACACGATCAACATAACGAGAGATGGATTATGTTTTGAGCATGGTATAAGAAAAAGAGAGATTGCTAAAGAAGCATTGCTTTGGATTCCCTTGCCATTTGCCATGAAAATGAAAAAGGTGCAAATTACTTTGTCCAAAGTCCTAACTCCAATGATATAAGTTATTTTATCATTTCGGCTGGTGTATTTTTGTCATTATTATGAGGTAATGAGTTATGACTTTGGGTCTCCTTATCCTCTCCTTAAACTCATGATATCTAAATATGAAGTTAATTAAAATAGTAGGGCCGCCTGAAGTCCTTGGGTTAGCTCTTCTTAAAGAAATATTTTATAATAATAGTTATATAATTTTTTTTATAATTTTTTATAATTTAGAATGTAACGATCTGTCATGATCCTTACAGTGTATGACACAACAACTATCTCAAAATCATATATTGGAATATGTATAACATTGCATACAATAGTCCTGTATATGTAAATAAAAATATATACAACTAAGTTGTCAGTCAAGCAACTATAACTATTTATACAAAATCTGCCTCCAATAAATAGTCAAAAAAAATCCCGTTCTAAATGCCACTATGTGGCCTCCACTGCGACATTCCAGCGCTATTCCTGTCTTGCTCTTATACCACTTATAATCATCATAGTCTAAATTACATGAAAACATACAAGATTAAACTAGAAAAAAAAACATGTAAACATATATTATATATATATATATATATATATATATATATATATATATATACACACACATGGGAACATCTCATATTTGTCAATATAGCAACGAAGCATCACAATCAACATAATCCAACTCTGATTCGACACAACAACACATTTTTGACAACTCAACAACACAACATCAAAGCATACAACACCAATCAACTTAGGCCAACTTTTAATCAACACAACAATACATTTCATCACAGTTGAACGTAGCATATGAACAACACAATCAACTCAACATATCATATATTCAACACAACAATTATATGCGTCGTCACGTATTTCAATCCGGAGATCTCCTACAACACAAGGTGAGTAGTTAAGTGATTTGATCCTATCGAACTAACAACACAGGGTGATCTTTTTGGACTTACTAGATCAACAACAAATTGGATGTAAATTCACAACACAACAACTCAGTTTCTTGGATGTCGTCACTTAAACAAGGAAGTATAGTACTAATGTCAAGATAGAATAGCTGGGTACAGACTTACCATGGCATTAGCTAGCTTAACTAAGTCTCCTATGTAATTAACCCACCAATTATCCTCCAAATACTACAAACTTTAAATATTCAATTAGGAACTAAGTTTCCAACTTCCTACTTTACTTGGTTGATCACTTATAATCAGTATAGTTCGGCTTGACCCCTATACTATGGTGGCTTCATACATATGCCTCGACCTTGCCCACACACGATACCAACAAAGTGCAAGAGGAGAAACAACACAGTATCCACTTGAAGGGTTAATTTCCCAAGAAGCGTTTTCAACGAATTGAGCTCTCAGAGAACCACAACACACTATCCACACAATGAGATAGGTGACTTTCAAAAACATCCCCTCTAGTTCTAAGTGGTCAACACAACTCAATCAACACAACAATTCATTATATTTTCAACATAGCAACGCAATCAACACATGACTTTTCGACTTATATGTTCATCATAACAACTCATTTATAACATTATGTTCAACATGCATCTCAACATCTCACAACTCAATCATCACTACTCATTTTCAACTTCTTACTCATCATACATCTCAACGACACATCAACATTATTTATATAGTATCCCAAGACAGCTACACAACTTCACAATATACTGTTGGATTCAACTTGCAACTAATAACTCACAACACAATTACCAACATTCAACTTATCAACATTCAACGCATAAAGTTCCTTATCATACAACATCTCTACCAACTTATTCATCATCATTTACCAATAATACGACTCTAACAGCAAGCTTTCAATATAAAACTCATTCATCAAGCAAGCAACCAACTCTTCTAGAGAAGAAATTTATTTGACTAAGTCCTCACGCTCAACACAAAAACTCACGCTAAGCCTCAGTCTTCCAAAGGCACAACTCACTCTTACACTCAGTGCAGAATCTCACGTTTAGCCTCAGATTTCCAGCAACACTTCCAAATTGTCACGCTAAGCGTGAAAATTCACGCTTAGTGTCCCAAATCCAAAAACTTATACCTGCAGATGAACAACTCAATCTCCAAATCCTCTCAACCCATGCAATAATCAAGGCAACCCCAAAATCTTCCAACTTTAACAACATACAACTCAGAAATCACAAGAAAAGCAACATGCATCCACAACAACCCAAAGAAATCATCACATTTTATAACCTCACATCAAGAACAACAAAAAACCCCAAATTCAAACTAAAACCCCTTGAATTCATCCCTACAGCTACAGATTTCATGATTATATCATCACTGAACCTTTAATTCATTCATCAACTCTATGTCTCAACCTAAAATCCCAAAATTTCAGCTTCCGTTACCTCGGAACAGAGTGAAATCAAAAAATTCCAAGCTACTCCGAGGTAGAAGATGAGGAACGATTGGCTCCACACAAATTCAACGGCTTAATTCAAGGTTTCCACTACCTGAATCACAAAACACCACTTTGAAGAGAAGTGAGGAAGAAAAAGAGAAGAAGATCAAAAGAAAAAGAGCTCACAGACCAGAATCCTTCTTTCTAGAATTCCTCTCTCCAGTCAAAACCTCACATGAAAATTACTTTTTAAATTCTTAAAAATTTACTTCAAAAAATCTTAAAAGACATGTAAATATAATTATTTTTTTAAAATTTATTTTTTAAAATATGTTTATTTTTTATTAAAAAAAATTATTATTAAAAATTACTTTAAACTTAATAATATATTAGTTCGGCCCGAAATAATGACTCCAAATGTAACAAAGATGTCCAGTAGATTATCGTAAAAAATATTTGTTTGAGCTGTTGACCTTTTCTTTTGGGTTGTTCTATCAAGCAGAACGGCCTGTTTTCCAAGCAGGACGAACTGTTTTGCTTGCACTCATTATGTTTTTTTTTTATAACTTTTTTAATATTTTTTTACGTCGAATCTTGGTAATGTTCGACGTAAATTTACATCGATTTTCAAATTCGACGTAAATTTACATCGATTTTCAAATTCGACGTAAATTTACATCGATTTTCAAATTCGACGTAAATTTACGTCTCCCACATTAACGTCGAACGTCTTTCTGATGTAAAAAGTTTAAAATAATTACTTATGTAAATTACTTCGTGAATGACTCCAAATATAACAAAGATGTCCGGTAGATTATCGTAAGAAATATGAAGTCAAAATTGATTGAATTTTTTTAGTAACAAGCGAGTTTCCATTGCGATTCGGAAAATTGTGGACTTTAGATTTTATGAATTTTATAATGGTGGCGGGCTATTTTGACTTTAGTTTCAACGTAATATCAATATATAACATGATTCAATTTTGTGCCAACGTTGAAGGAGTGCTTTTATTATGAATTTTTTATTTTAAGTATTTAATGTCAATTTTTTTTAAATATTGTGAATAATTACGGATATGTTAATAGAGATCACTATAGTCAATTTAGTAAGGAATTTTATATAATACTGTTTTGGATATTTTTGCTGCTATTGTAAAAAATAATTGTGTTAATAGTTCATTAATTTATTTGAATAAGTTACAATGCCCCGGTTAATTTAGTTGATAATTATTAATTCATTAATTTATTAAAATTTAAAAAATAATCAATTTAGTTGATAATAATAAATTTATTATGTAGAAAATGGGAGAGAAGACGATTCAAATGATAATATAATTTTTATCAATTATTATATCGTTCAATAATTTTATATTAAATATGAATTTTATCGATTCAACTACTGAATTATAATTTCATATCACCATGTATGTTTATATTAAATTTTGTTAAATTAAATAATAATATAAAAGGTGATTAAAGTTCTGTATATATGATATAGGAGTAAGAAACTTTCCATCTAATAATAAGTTAAATTTTATAAATAACCGCAACAAATCAAGGAATGAATCAAACTATGTCAGTGATGGCAGCATACTTAAGAAAAAATAAAACACACACAGAGATATTATGTGGTGAAATTGTTTTGGTTAGTAAGGATGATTTGAATCTCCGTAGTAGAAAAAGCAGATTTAAGCTGAAGAAGCGTTTAGATGACATAAGAACTAAGAAGGAAGAGAAAAGGTACATTGGCACAGTAGAGGAAGGAGGCACCTTTGTTAGTTGCACAAGTGAGCTGATTCTACAAAAGTTTCCACATCACAAAACTCACTACTACCCTATCAGCAATCAGCATGCCTTGTGAGTTTCTCCGAGCTCCTCCCTCTTCAGAGCAGAAAGTAGAAGCACCTTCAAGTGGTCTTTTCTGCATCAGCGACTGTTCCACGTGTCCTCTAATTTGTTCACCTCCTCCGCAAATACTAATAACAACGCCACATCCTCCACCACCATCAGCCACTGCTCCTCCTCCTCCACCACCGCCACCACCACCTTTCAAACCCTACAATACGCCTCCTTCAGGTTTGGCCCAGCCACAGCCTACGGTGATCTCAGCGCCGCATGACTTTTCATATCCCTATTACTATTTTTATGCTTCCGCTGCTTCTTCTTCCCTCTCTCTTCATGCACCCCTTTTCGCTTTCTCATTCTCCCTTGTTGCTTATTCCATTCTTGGTACGTAACTGAAATTGGGTTCTGATCATGTTAAGGAATAATTGCATGAAGATGTATTATTTTTGTTTGTTTACCAAGGCATTTGTGTATCTTTTAGTATTATATTAAGGTTTCCACCCTTGTTGTGCTAAACAATTATTGTGTCACAAAGGCTTTATAATTTTGGTTCTCTTCCTGCCTCTCTTCTGTCTTCTGTTTCTGGTTTGTCTGCCGTATAACTCTGTTCAAACAAAACTTCTGTTGAAGATTCAAATAGCAGGGAAAATAAAATAAATTAACCTGATAATCAACAGATTATTATTACTTTCGTTTATGTACTAAAAAACATTTTACTTTTGTTTTTTTATATATTTTAAAATGATTATTGTTTAAATTGCGGGTCAACATCTTGACTACATTTTCTATGATGTGTTTGATGTACATTGATTCACAGAAAAATAATACCTTATACTTAATTTTTGCGGGATAATTTTTTAATTTGTACCTTATTTGATGAATACATAATTAATAATACAAGTAAAACAATATAAATTTTACTATAATTAATTTTTATATATTAAATATAAATCTTGTACGAAAATAATTTTAAGAGTTTTTTTTTCAATAATATGATTTGTAGAAATTTTTTTTTCAAAATTAATTTAGCAAATACTCGTTATCTCACCCTTTGAGGTGTCTTCAACGTAGCACCAACGTAGCGAGGAGATTAGTCACTGCTATCGGCGGTAAATACTCCATGAACGAAAAAAAAAAA